AATAATAATTATAATGAGGGTTATGCTTGTGATATGACTACAGTCATGGCAATATGGATATTAATTACAATAACGATAAAAACGGGTGACGAAGATATTATCATAACGATAATAGCTGCAATAGTAACGCTGAGGATAATTATAATAATGAAATTAATGATGGTTGTGGTAATCATGATAATGATCATAATGACGATACTTGATACCAATGTGTAATTATGATAAAAATCAAATGATGTTTTCGATTAGTGATGATGATCCCAAAACAGCAGTGACCAGGATAATGATAGCAGTAGTGAATTTTATAATGAGTGTAAATTGTTCAGGTTGTTAACAATTATGCAGATGGCGAACTTAATGACGATCGGTGAAGCGACCACTGTTTGGCAGCTTTATAATCACTGCAGTTCGGCATTCCTACAGATTTACTTAAAACATGCTAATGCCCGTGGACAACAGTCCAGTTATTGCCTAAGTTCATCTCTTTTTTCGAAATTCTCTTATTTTAAATTCAAATTTAAGGCTCCGCTAGATGTAGGGCCGAAATTGATTGCACGAAAGTTTTGATATTTTATCTAATTCGAAATATAAATGTGGCTGGCAGTAACCATTTTTTTAAGTAAAAACTTGTTTGACTCAAGCTCAGTTCCTCCCAAAATTTCAGCGGTTTTTTAACCCTGGATTCCTTTCGAAAACCTCTAACAGATATTTTTTAGAGATTTTGGTAAGTTTCTTCTTTGGCTAAGCTATGACGGTAGCTTTTTTAGAAATTCGTCTAGCATTTCTCTTTCCCAGTCTGTATAGATTTTCTTTTGTAATTCTGATTAAATTTCTATCTGTTCCATAATTGCAACTCGTCACAGTTTCATCAGAAATCGTTTCTGTTAATTCAAAAACTTTTATAATAATTATAACTGAATTCAAATTATGCAAACCGAAAGTAAGATTTTTTAGCAGACTTTGTGATACATATGGATGCCGAAGGACGAATTCAGCTACAAAATGCTTTTACCGGCAAATTTATTTGCTTCAATAAACGAGAAAAACTCGCTGTTAGAGTAAGTTCTGTCAATTTTGCTTGTACATTTGGTAAGGGATGATGCTTAAAACAACTGGAGCCAGCAATGCTGGGCCTGAATTGATAGCGCTTAGTATGCGGTTGTTACCAGATTTTACAAGTTAAATGCATCAAGTAATCCGAACTTTTCTGATTCTCGGGCTGTGGCTTTTGCGAAGGTCAATTATCAGTTCAGCATCAGTGCAAATCAAGAAACTGATTCTTCTACGACCAACATGAAGTATAGACGTTTTGCGCTTAAAACAGTAGCCAAGCCTCACTGACCATTACAACGCCAACAAACATTTGTCAATTCTAGAAAAAAGATAAATAGGAAAAGATGAAAAGAAAATTATATTATGCTAAGGCAAGTAAAAATTTCTTTAAACAATCAATCTAAATTTTTGCACTGGGAAGCAGAAAAAATACATTTACTTGCACAGCGAGAAAAAAAAAATTTTTTTT